GCCGGAGGGCGGGGCCCCGCCCCGCAGCCAATGGGGAGGCGCCAGGCCGGAACAGGCCCCTCCCCCCGCGGTCTCCAGAGAAGCCGCGTGGCGCGGTGCATGCTGGTAGGCCAGGTGTTGCGAGGAGCCCGGCCCGCAAGGCCGGCAGGAGCAGCAGGAAAAATAACGTTTCCCTCCAGCCGCCGATACGGGTACACGAAATGGACTGTACGCTAGAGAAACAAGGCACTAACCCAGCAACACTGCATTTAAGTTTAGCTGTATTCAGTTGCAAACAGTGCAGGTTTCAGCACAAAGTTTCACTGCTTAGTAACTTCTTTTAAACCAATAAATAGTTCACTGAGAGCATTAACACATTTAAAATTACAAAGGTACAAAGACTTTGGGTATCGGACGCTTCAAACTTTTGAAAACTCATTCAGTGAGCTCACATCTTCCCATTTTCCAGTACAAACACGCACGTATTACCTACTGTTTTGAAAACATAAGGAACAAGGCACAGAAAAGCAAATACAAAAAGACTTTCCAAGAACATTCAGACCATTCAAAGCAATTCCGTGTAACAGCACAGGGCTCAAGAAAGGCAAATTATAAAGAATCTGAAAAAAATCAGGTAACTGTTAAATAAGGTAACTGAGTTGATATAATCCTGCAGGGCACATAACTCTCCTGTAAGATGCTGAATATGCTTAAATGGTGGCAGTTAAGCATCTTGCAGGATAGGGCCCTTTACAGTTTGAAGTAACCTTCCTGGAAAGATAGACAAATATTTCATCTTATAAAATTATACTTTTCAAATTAGTGCAACGCCTCATGTAAAATGTCTAGATGTAATGGAATGCTTCAAAAATTCCAAAGTGCAAATATTAAACTTAAATTGGTTAACTTTTCATCACACTTCAGAATTCTTCCAATAACTATGCTTATAGATTTTTCCTTAAAAATAGCAAAGTAAATATAAGAACCAAAGCAGAGAAAAAAGTATGATGTTCTGCATCTCACGTAAAAACTTTGAAAATCCAAAAACTACACTGGATGTCAAAAAACTCCCACAGAAATTATTAAATAGCAGATTTCTGTTAGCATAATAAGACAGCATTTAAAATAAAGCTTTGGTTAAATAAAAAGTTTGCTAAACTAGGAATGATGATAAAAGTGCAAAAGATTCACCAAATACACAACTTCATTTCCAAGGCAGGCATTATGCCTGCCATTTACAATGGTTTGCATTGGTTTGTCAGCCTGCATTGTAATAGCTCGGATACCTATAGCCAAACATGTTTATTATAGGCAAATTGAATATATGGGGTCCAATCCTGTAACTTGTTTCACCCAGAGAGAGACTCAATTATACCAGTGGAAGTATATCCATTTATAGCATCATTCCTCTGCATGTTTTGGGGATCAAGGACCTGGATCTGTAACATTTGATTATTATAGTGAGTTCGCTAGTGAGTTTATTCATTTCTTAGCACTTCCTGAACAGAGTCCTCTGCTGGCAACTGGCTGGTTCCAGCTGATTTTCTTACAAATAGAATTCTTGTAACATATGGGTAACAAAGATGATTTTTTAAAAAGTGCTTAATATTGGTCCGTAAGAACAACATGTGCATGTTAGCTTGAGACCAAACACTTTGCTGTGGCAGATATCCTGCACCTCATATTTATTGGTGCACTGGTAGTTTGCTCGAGGAAAAAAGAAATCATCTGAGTCTACGGAAGAGAATGTCACCTTCATAGAGAAAATAATTTACAGTTTTACAGTCACAACACATGCTCCAGCTCTTCCTAAGCACAATGGTGCAACCTGTAAGCAAAAAAAAAAATAAAATTCCGTGAGACAAACACAGTCAGCTTTAAGTATTTTTTTCCCCCCTAAAACCAACAGTGTTTAGTTAATGCTTGTAATAATAGTTGCACAGCTGCAGCAGAGTGGCACTATCACCCACACTCTGTTAACATGACTTAAAAAAAATAGCAAACTGGTCCAAAACCTGGATAAAAGCCCACAGAAAAGGTAAAGAAATTTTATATGAGAGAGTGAAGCACTTTGAAAGCAATAGCAAACCCCAAGGGTACAGAACAATTCTTATTGATAATTCCAATTACTTGGTATTACAGGAAAAAGAATCCTTTGTTATGGTACAAACTGGACACCTGAGCTAGACAGTCTGACAACTGAGTAATAGTTGGCAAAATGATGCATTTTTCTCTCAAACAGAAAATGCCAAACATGACAGGGGCAACCTCTCCTTTTCACTTGAATATTTAATAAAATCCTGTTAAGAGTTCTTGAAATCAGAATAATTTCCCAGTCCTTTTTTTTTTTTTTGTAAACAGAGGTTACTTCTGGCAAGACCCTTTTCTGCTGAGATTGTGTTGGACTTGAAAAGAGGAAGGTAGTTTCTAACACTCACCTTAGCTTCCCCTTTTGAACTTCATAGTATTGGAGTGTGTGTGAATAGCACACTAACTGCTACAGAGATCATCCTGAAGACAAAAAAGGGTGTTTATGCCAACTCCCCTATTTCTTTTTTCCCCAGGAACAGTAGACTTATCCTGAGCTGTCTATTGCTCTGACGAACTTCAGTTGAGAAAATTCCACTACCTCTTTTGAGTTGTGTGTGAATGAAGTGATGGCGGACTGCTGACATACTAAGAGTGAAGGAAGGTACACAGACACTTCCAAATCCCTCTAGGAAGAGTTCAAAACTGTCCTACATACTGGAATCACGGGATTCAGTGAGATACAGAGGGTCAAGGCTAAGCATACAAAGGCACATACAGATGGTCACCACCTAGACATCATGCAAGATTCATTTAGATGCAACGGTGAGAAGCACCGTTTCTCTCCTCTGGTACATTTTTTTTTTTTCCCCTCTAGCAGGACAAATAATGCCATGGGTTACCCTTACCAGTACTGCCACTGAAGGCCCGAAGTTCTGGTAAGCCTCCTAGATGTCTTATGTTTTAAGATCTTGGAGCAGTATGCAGTAGGGGGAAATGGACAGCTCAGTTTTCTATGTTACAAAGATTTTGATAGATAGCAGTTCAGTTCTCTTTTTGAATTAGCAAATTGGGGCTATTAACTGGGATAGCATATTCAAGAGGTCAGAATTCAGCTGCCTAAATACTGGTGTCTAATGCTATTCTAGATGACCTTGGACATTCATCCTGGCCTGCAGCTGGACTCCAGAAGGGCCTTGGCTTCTCATAGATTCTTTGCTGTATCTGCCAGCCTTCTGTGGATGTAGATGCCTTAGGGTATCTCAAATGACAGTAGATACCAAAGCACAGCCTGCCCAGGATGTCCTTGTGTGTGCTCTTCCCAGAAAGGCACATTCCTGGAGCTATAAAAAAGTAAAAGTAACCAAGCTTGAATTGACAATAATGGTTTCTGATTATGAATTGAAGATTTTTTTTTTTTTCTGAGCTGGGTGAAGGGAAATGGGAAAAGGCTTCCTGAAAGTTGCACACACTGTACATAGCATTCACATCAGGAAGGGATTATTTACGAAGAGATGACCAAACCCCTGAAGAAATTGATAAACTTGCTGAGAAACACATTAGAGCTAAAACTAATCTGCATTTATCGTTTATCTTTGGAATAAGAAGTCATGTAAACAGAACCCTTTATGACAATTTGGGGAACATGTCAATACATTTTATTAACAGTAGTTAATTGTCAAAGTAGTTAATTGTCAAAGAAAATAGCTATACTCTTGCCAAAGAAAGAAGGGCAGTTTATTAGAAGTTAAAAACTGTCTGTTCAAGATAAATCATCTCAAGATGGTAGACAAAGGAAAAAAAAAAAAAAAAAAAAGAGAGAGACTTAAAACAGACTAGTAAGAAAGTGCTTCTTAGAGAAGGAGTATTTGAATTCTCCTTGTAAAAACAGGCACACTTGAAATAACAGGATAAATAGTAGTGTATAGTCTGATCAGAAACTATACCTGTGTCCATTCATTTGTCTGGGGGTCATAAGACTCCACTGTATTAAGGTATGTTTGACCATCATATCCTCCAACAGCATACAACTTGTCACCAAGAAGACATACTCCCACTGCATCTCTGCTAATGCTCATAGAGGCCACAGTAGTCCACATATCTGTTTTTGGATCATACCTAAAAGATAATTTGTGTTATGCTCTAAAACTGTTGCCAAAATTCAATAGAAAAAACATACTGGAATTGATGCTCTTCAAGTAGTAGAAAACAGGTATCATTAGGACAGCACAGATTTGGGTATTAATTTCAAAGAACTTTTTTCCCCTAAATACTCTTTGAAAATATTTTAGTCATCTGGTAACATAGTCAGTACTAGCTACATATCTACTTTGTGCTGCTTTCTGCATAGTAACACATACATATACATACAGCTGCTCTTACTACATTTCTCATTGTATGTCTAAACGTACCACTCCAGAGACAGTTCTGCTGCTACACTGTAGTAGAGCAAGTGCTTGCTCTAAGTGATAACTACTACATGTCAAAGCACAGGCTGTTAAAGTTGAGTGTGGTACTGAAGAGAGTTACTTGCTATGAAAGATTACCATTCAAAAAAAAAAAAAAAAACCAAAAACAGTTTGAGAGAATTCTGGGGGAAATGCAAAAAACCCTTAAGACAATTTACAGCACTTCTTTAATCATAGCTCCATATCATCAGAAGCATCAGACAGTAAAAGACAGATGGTTTACTGAGAAACATTAAATGTGATTCTAGAATAATATCAACATTCTTTGCAAGTCAAACTGAGAACTACATAGGAGAGTTTATGCTATTCTTATGTCAAGGAACATATTTTAACCTGACTGAAAGAGACAATGTTAAGATTACACATGCTTACAGCAAAACTGATGTAATCACAGAGCTCTGAAGGGCTCTAAAGAACTACACAAAGAAAATACTTTGGCTAAGAGACCATCCTAAGATCACACTTGCTAAAAGCAAGTTTGGAAAATACTAGTCTTAATTTGTTTGCATGAAGAGCATAGATAGAATGAGCTCTAGTAATTTTATCTGCAGTTCTCTAGTTAAAGTACTACAGAAATGCGTGCAAGCATAATCATAACATGAAAATACTGCCTGAAGCACAAGCTGCAAATAGAAGTATAATGTAGTGAAAGAGGGTGATTAGTGAGCTACATATAGAATTTACCTTTCAATTTATGTTATTTTATAATTAATTTATAAACCAATGTACTTATCTGAGAAGAGTGACTTTTATTGCAAAATGTAGTGGTAAACAAATACTCAGAAGCTTAGTTTGGTTTTACGAAACTGGTAATTTTTTTAAAGGAACTGTTTCCATGAAGTTGATGGTCCTCAATGTCACCTCACTTAAAGAGCAAGGACAAAATGCATTACAACATTATTCCTATTTATTGAAGTCATGTGTCCTGTAACTTTGTTTCAGAGAATACTGATGTAGAAAAATACATTGCTTTCTCTTGGGCTTCTAATTATCTTTATTCCTCTCAAAATTTGGTATTTGCTAAGATAGAGCTTCCTATCTGCAAACCTTTCTGGGGTCGTCTTAGTGCAACTCCCATATGTTAAGTGGTATGGGCCACACTATGTATTTTGGGGTCTATTAGGACACTGAAAGTTTGAAAACTACAGCTCTGTTTTGTGGTGGTGTTTTTTTGTTTTGTGTGGGTTTTTGTGGTTGGTTGTTTTTTTTTTTTTTTTTTTTTTTTTGTAGAGGGCAAATCACATCTCCCAGCATAAAGAAATTTAGTAGAAGAAGATGGGTGATGAAGAATCAATTTAAGTGTTGGGAGATAACAGGAAAGAAGAGAAGTTTTACAATGTGTATGGCAGGGGTGGGGCGGGAAGAAAATTAAAGCATATTCCAGAAATACTTGAAATGCCAGCGAAGACTTCATGTAGTGATGAAGTATTTACTGTCATTTTTAATTATTTTATGGATCACACATGCTTCTGCAATTTGTAGTAAGTCATTCATTAATAACTTTATGTAAAGACATACCAACTTTGGAATGACTGAATTACATGCCAGTCTCCCAGTGTCGTCAGGGAATACAAGAAAGAATAGGATATTTAAGGATCCACAAATCCTGACTGTTAACTCCTTTAAAAGTTATAACATGAACTGATACAGATTTCTTGTGTGAAAGAAGTTCTGCTCCATTTTTAAAAGCATTCAATTCCAACTTGTTCTCAGTAATCAATCATAATTCATTCAATGAGATTGTTAAAAAAAATTTCTAGAAGTGCATTGGGGAGAATTCACTTTAAATAATCTGTCTTGTCAACATTTTGAATCATTATGACTACACAGTATGTTTTTATACGTAAGTTTTCTCTGCTCATGCTAAAAATAATGCAGCTATTTTATTGAATTTCTACTTACAGCTCTTCCCATAAATCACTCTATAGAATAGCACTATTAGAATTACTAGCAGAATATGCCTTCATCAGGATATTACCTTTCTACGCAGTCTGACAGCCTGGATGTTAAGTTTGATGCTGGGGCATCATGACCTCCTATTGCATACAAGAACCCATTCCAGGTGGTTACACCTACACCACCTCTTCTTTTTGACATCTGAGCACAGAGGGTCCATTTGTTTGTATGAGGATCAAAACATTCTACTGACTTAAGACAAGAACTTCCATCTCGACCACCAACTGCATAAAGCCTATAAAGTTTAAAAAAAAAAAGTAAATAAATATTGGCTGAACAAGACAAAGTTTCCAGTGGTGTATGAAGGACTTTCAAGTTTGTTAAAAAGGGAAGTTTAGAAGGAGACTTTCAACTTTCAATAGAATGTTCTGTTGCGAAAACTCAGGTTTCTGCTCCAACCTTTTCCTATTGTCATGATCAACATGTAATAACAATAATTTACAGAAAATTGATATCTGTAACACAGCATTTATGTTCCAATGTATGCATATAGCTAACATTGTCAAAATTACTTACGTGACTTGACAGACAAAGGCCCATTTCTGGCAGGGTTGGAGGGACAAATTCAGTAGTGGATCTGTGCTACCAACAACTCTGCCCTGCCTCATCTTAGGTATTCAAGTATTCTTCTGGACCCGGGCTTTAGTTTATGAATGACAGAGCCATGTTAAGTCCCTCACACCCACTAGGTGGCCTAGTTAGCTCAGTTCTAACAAAAAGGTTTCTAGCATTTGGTATTAACAAAGGATTTCAACTATTGGAAAGGCTAGAAGGAAAAGATTGCTTTTAGGAACACTCCATCACTGATGAATCTTTAAAACTAATCAAATAATAAACTTGATAAAGAGTTTATGCACGCAGTTTAGGAGCAATCTATGCTTAGAAGCAGAAATGCCCAGCACTATTATTTGGAAAGGTAGGAACTCAGAAGACATTCTAAAAAGCAAGCAACGCATCAGGAGTAAAGTCCAGTTTGAGAGATCACCTGAAATATCATTAATGAAATCCTTTCATAGCCTAAGGCACATTATAGTATGGTTAAATAATCAAATAAACATTAGATACTGTATATGATGATAGTGTGAACAATTTACAACAGTTACTATGAAGCACTATTCAAGATATCCTCAGTGTGGGCAACACCACTGTTTGTTTTTTAAATATACTGATCAACAAACTTAAATAAAAACATCTTATAAATACGGTTGACCTACTCGTTCTCAGTAATACTTTTAATACCCTTTAAAAAAATACATTTTCATGGCAGTTCCCATGTTTAATAACATGTTTAAGGTAAGGAATGTACTGAAGGATATTGAAAAATCCTGTTGCAGTTCCAAAAAGTTCATGACTAAAAATCAGTCTTTTATGCAACATAGCATTTAAATGAAGCCCCTCACCTTACCTCCCCCCAAAACATGACAGTTTTGATCACTTATATTTCACGTTTCGGACATGGAGAAAGATATATTGATTTCTCTATATGAAGGTTTTGAGCAAATCATCTGAAATACATCAAGTTACAGATAGATATTACTAGAAAGTGCAGAAGTTACTGCTCCCTCAGCTGAAATTCTGCATGGACTTTCAAGCGTTTTGACTCATTAAGAGTCATGGGAATGTTTTATAATAATAGAGAAATGTGAGGCTCTAATTCTGGTGCTTTTCACACACCTGGGACCCTCTGCTGAATATATAGAAAGCTTCAGACCTAACTCAGGCATCTGAGACCGCAGTTCCAAGGCAGCCCAAGGCACTCTGCTTGCTGGTTGTTCAAGTTCTTCCCTCTTTCCTGCACTCAATGAGCATTTCCAGTCATTCCTGGACTTGTTGCAGATCTCACAGGACCCTCTGCAGGTGCATTTCAGCTGTACTAATTTAGCAGGAGTCTAACCTTCCGCCCCAAAAAAGTGTGAAAAGCTATTTGCTACCTTACGATATTCAAACAGCTCAAGGGAGATGCGACAGGTAGTACATAAGCAGAAAGTGAAAATTTGTGGCCAAGAGAGTGTAAAAATTCTGCCCCAACTACAATACTACTCAGCAAATCAGGTTAGCTTTGTCTACTATGGTATTCTTGTAGCCACCCTGGCAAAACGTGGTTTGGATAAGCCCACTACAAGACTGGCAGAAAACTGGAAGGACTACTGGGCTCAAAGGGCTGTGATCAGCGGTATGAAGTCCAGCTGGCAGCTGGTTACTAGTGGTGTTCCTCCCAGGCTGATACTGTGGCTGATACTGCTCAATGTCTTCATTAATTATCTTAAAGATGTAACAGAAATCAGCCTTAGCAAGTTTACTGATAATATCAAATTAAGGGGAGTTTCTGATATGCTGGAGGGCTTGGTTACTATTCAGAGAGACCTAGACAGGCTGGAAAAATGGGCTGACTGCAGTCTCATCAAGTTCAGCAAAGGCAAATGCAAAGTCCTGTACTTCAGATGGCATGTTCCCATGCAATAGTACAGGCTGGGAGCTGACAGGAGAGGAGACAGCTTAGCAAAAATAGACTTGGAAGCCCTGGCAGACAGTAAGTCAGCAGTATGCCCTTTAAGTAATGACAGCTGATCCCCTTTATTCAGTACATATAAGACTACTTTTGGATGCTGTGTCCAGCTTTGGGCTCTCAGTACAAGAAAGATCTTGCCATACTAGAGCAAGTTCAGCTAATGGTCACTAAGATGATGAGGGAGCTAGAGCACATGACATATGAGGAGAGGCTGAGAGAGCTGCCTTTGTGCAGTCGTAAGAATTCTTGAGACAGCTAAGGAGGCATCTTACTGCTGTCTTCAACCACCTAATGGGAGGTTATATGGAAGACAGATCATTCTCAGAAGTATGCAGTGAAAGGGGGAAAAACAAGTGACAAGTTCAAACATGGGAAATTTCAATTGGATATTAGAAGAAAAATGTTCAGTACAATGGTGGTCAAACATCGGAACAGGCTGCCCAGAGAGGCTATTGAATCTCTATACTTGGAGATATTCAAAGCTCAGATAGAACTTGAGCTACCTCAGTTAACTTTGAAACTAGATCCAACCTTAAGGTTGGCCCTGCTTTGAGTTGGCGTTGGATCAGATGACTCCAGAGGTCCCTTCCGATCCAAATTATTCTACAATTCTATGACTCCCAATTGATCTTTATTTTTGTTATAGCTTGATTCAAGTACCACTTGTGTTTTGGGATGCTATAGAACAATTACACTTATTCCAAAGGAAAACAATGGAAATCACTCAATTGTGGCCTACAAATAAAGACTGAAGGAGCTGGAGTTGTTCAGCCCTGATGACAGAATACTGAGGGGGACGTGTCTTTAAATACAAAATCTGTTGCAAATAGGAAAGAAAAGATGCATTTTCCGTGTTCACTTTGCATAATACAAATAATAATAATATAAAACAGCAAAAGGTATTTAAGACTTGACATGAGGAGAACTTCACAGATGTATTAATAGTTAAGCAGATTGCTTACTGAAGTTACAGAAACTTTACCACTGGAGGTTAAGAACAAGATCACTCTGGCTTTGAGTTGTTTAGATATAATTCATTCAGCTTTGGGGTAGCAGAACGGATTAGAGAACTCCTTGAGGTCACTTCCAGCAACCACAACATAAAATGACCTAGTTGTCTCAATATGCTTTGTATTAGGAATTAGGCATATTTTCACTGAAAAACAGCTGTAGAAATATCAGATACCACTCCAGATGAGATTCATTCTGCCAGAGCTTACTGTTCTGAGTTAATGCAATATAACATGAGTACGCCTCCATGACTTTACGGTAATTTGGAAGTTGATTGTTCAAACTATCACAGTAAGAGGAAATCACTGGAGTCTCAGTGAAAGAGCACAACCATTTGCTCCTTTCTGTATGAAGGAGATGGTAACTACTTATTAGCCCACAGAGATGGTGTCTCATAAGTAATACTGAGGGACACTGCGATGCTGTGGGGAAGCTTGCTTGACCTAATACAAATTTCTTCATTCACAGAAAAGATACTGGTTTTTAATGCTATTAACAGGTATCTATCAAGAGAAATTACTCATAGTCGTTTAGGATGGTGCTGTAATTACATTAAAAAAATGAGATAGAAAACGGAAGTTGCCTTCACATACTTTCCATTTAATATTGCTACACCAACAGTGCTCCTTGGAGTTGACATACTAGCTACAAAGTTCCACTGACGAGCCTGTGGATCCCATCTTTCTACCGTATTCAGGTAACTCCAGCCATCATGTCCTCCTACAGCATACATGGGACCTTCCAATACAGCTACTCCTAAAAAAACAGATATGAAAAACAATCGCTTCTGGATAAGGGGACAAAAAAAAAAAATCACATTTTCCTAGTGACAGTCCAGTGTGCACCACGAAATATTTGAAAACAAATAAAAAGAAATTTCCTTTTGGTAGTCAATGCTGGATATAGTCTGAAGGAGGAAAGACGTTCAATAAGCAGTTGGTATTACAACAAAGTTTCCACCCCCCCGAACTTAATTTCGGAATGTTTTTTGACCAATCCTAAAGCAAATAACCTTTTAAAAATATGCATTCAGCCTTTACAAAACTCTACATACCAAGACCATGACGATGAGTGGACATAGGTGGCATTACACTCCAAGTTTTTGTTCTAGGGTTGTAGCACTCCACTGTATTCAATGTTTTCAGTCCGTCTCTGCCACCAACAACATACAATTTATCATCTAAGACTGCAACTCCAAACTGTAATCTTCGTCCATTCATGTTTGCAACAGGAGTCCACATGTTGGTACGAAGTTCATACTTTTCAATGCTTGTAGCTCCTGAATGACAACATATGCAAGTTATAAAAAAAAAAAAGTCTGAATTATTAGGATAGCTTTTATTTCAGCAATATGCTGATCCCACAAGACAGCATGACATCCCGGAGCATGTTCTTAATTCTATGTATACAAATAATCTTTTTTGACTTACTCAGGAATTAACTGAAATAACCCTCCATTATAAAGGAGGGCTTTCTCAGTGCTTTTCAAGACAAAAAGCATGATTTCTAACTGCTTTGCAGAATCAAGCCTTTAGAAATACAAATGTTAGCAATATAAAACAACCCTTGTGAAATGCAATTATATATTGAAATCAACTGTTTGTAATATTAGAAAGAAACCTGAAGCTATGTGACATGAAGTACTGGAAGTGCTAACTTTAAAACAACAAATGAAAGAAAACACTTTCTCTGCCATAACTTTTCTAACTTGCCAGATTCCTTCTAACTACCATTAAACAGTATGGAAGTGTCTATAAAAAGAAAGTCAAAGTAGCTCTGACAGAACCATTTAACAATTACTCAAAAAGCGTATTTTGGGGTTTTTTTTAATGTGTGTGCAGGTCACCTTTGTGCCCTTTCTGTCATTTTCTTCCTTTTCCAAATTACTTCCCACTCAAGTAAACAAAGATTATTTTTCACTCAATTCAACACTTCACTACTCAGAAATCAGATATTCCCTTGATAATTTCAAAACAATCATAACTCTAGCTTTCAGAATGTTCAGTATTATCAAAGCTATGTAGTTTTTTTTTTTAACCTAATAAACAGTGTACATTTAAGACGTTTCATGTTCTATACTGCAGAATCTTTGAATTTTAGAATTAACATGTTGTAAAAACATCTATCCAACATTTCTTTTAAAAAGAATCAAAACAGCTCATCAACTAATCATTATATAAGCCAGTACCTTTTGTGGCATCCATTCCTCCAACTGCAAACAACACGCCCACTGTAGATTTTCTAGGTTTGGTGCGAGGACTTTGCAACATAGGTCGTCTCTCTGGCAACAGATGGTACTTCATTGCTTCCATAATGAGTTTTTGACATTCAATGTCATCCCTAAAGAGTGCATTATTTTCCATATCTGCCAGAAACTGTGAAAAAGAAAGAAAATTAAACAAGCTGTGTTGCTATAAGCCACATGAAGAATAAAAACAAGATTACAAGAAAACACTTTATCCAGAGACTTCCACTGCCTGATTTAATATCTATGTATTTTCAAAATGGTCATATAAAAAAGACTAGGGTAAAGATAAACTTGTAATAAACAAAACATTCACATTTTAAGCTAAGCCATTAAGTAAAAAAAAAAAAAAAAAAAAAAAAAAAAAGGAAGGCCATCTGATCTTAATGGATGATTTAAACCTTAATGGTCCAAAGGAAGAAAACAAAATCTCCTCACATTCCAGTGCCACTACAAGTATGTTCAAGAAAATGGCATCAGGCTCTGGATATGTAAGTTAGTTTAACCTCAGCTCTTACTCCTGAATCCACCCAATCCAGAGGTCTGTAAAAGCCACTTCAGGCACAGGCTGAATATTTTAATATATATTCTATACCTCACTCTGATAGTGACTCAGATCACAGTACATCAATTAATACAAGCCTTTGTTAAAAATTTAAAGATCAAGGATGCAAGCAAATTTGACAAGTGTTAAATTTTAAATCTGACTTAAATAAAATTCAAGTTAAATAAAGACTACTATTAAAAGTTATTAAGTTTAAAGATTCTGGAGTCTTTTGGACTCCATGTTTGTCAGACTGCAGGAAACATATATTAGTAGGTTGAATGTCCCAACTGTAATTATGAGAAGTCTAGACAACTGGCATTTTTCCGAGCTGCAAGACACAGCCTGAGTAACAGAGAAAAAAAGCAAGTGAAGTGCTCCACTCGGACTTGGACAGTTGTCAGAACAATGAGAAAAAGGCAAATGCGCCGAACTGCCATCACAAAATCCAAACACTTTGTGAATATTAGAAATTAAGTCCACAAACCACAATGAGATGTCATTTTTGAGCTGTTGACAGCCAACCAGTAACAGGTACAAAATTGCTGTGAAATTAGTAATCAGGAGTACTAAAGGGACTCACTATGAAATAGCTGTGCATAACGTGGTGCACATATCCCTGGCTTAAAGCTGCCTTAGCACTGTGAAGTGGCAAATATGACATCCATGGTTCCAGAAGAGATACAGGTAAGTACAGACTGCTAAGCCTGAACATCTCTGTATCAGGCAAATCAACAACAACTATGACAGAAAACTTAATTAACATACACAGAGAATTAAAAAACAAAACAAAACAAAAAAATCCCAAACCAAAACAAAACCCAAACCCAAACTTTCAAAGCCCTTCACCAGTAATTTCTGAGAAAACTGAGCCTGACTTTTGCAGTATTTCTCTAATTGGCTAATGTTCTGATTCTATTTAAAATAGCAAATTAAAATGTTCTCATGTAAATTAGCAGAGGGAACTTAATTTTCATTCTTTACTTTCAGTACTTCCCATCGTTTCTTCTCTTGACCCAAAGCACCTCTTACCACTTGTATCACTTCACAGGAACACTTTGTGATTATAAAATAGTAGACTAAAAGCAGTCCTTTAACTGCCAGCATGCACTGCTATAAAATTGCATGTGGTTTAAAAAAAAAAAAACCACCAACCCACACCCACCAATGAATTACTACAACATTTGTCACAGTTGCATGCATGAAAATTAAGGCTTGTACACAACATGACCAATTCAGACCTCCAATATGTTTTTCTGATAGACAAGCAGCATTTAGTATTTAAAGCAACACCATATATGTATATATGTTTTGCAACAATAAGATGCAACCGACATTTTCTCCAGTTTCTAACACCCCCAACCTATAAAGAAGTTTTCTCATAGCACAGTCTCTCAGTCTCTGAAAGCAACTTCATCTCAGTTAAAAAGAAATGCAATCTAGGATTGTTTTGGTACTCAAAAAACCTGCAGGCTCTTGAAACTAAACCTACTGTATTACAATTTTCTGTAAATCATCTTCACTCAAAGACCTTGGAATGGGCTTACTTAAATGAAAGCCAATTTTTTCCAAGTTTTATTATTTACATAGCTCCTTGTACTAAAAACATTTATAACTGAGCAGTTACAAATGATGTGTTAGCATGAAATTATAGTCATTGGAAACCTGATGAAGAGAAAGCTAGTGCAGATACTTAAATAGTAAGAATTTCTGTCTAAAAGGAAGCTGAACCATCTTGCAACTCAAACTGCCTAATCATCTTTTTCATTAATTTATCAGAGATGGAATACTTGCCACCTTACAACTTAAGCAGCTGACAAATATTCATCTTTAGCCTTTGTAAGAGCAAAAAGAAACTTACAAATATTTAGGACACTGCTTGCATTTACTAAAGAGATGACAGAATGCTATGTACAAAGAGATGCATAAAAACACAACCAATAAAACTGGCAATTTTTCGCTTCCAGTGCTACAGCTTCACAGTATTTCCCAAAGTTTGGTTGGTTTTTTTTTTTTAAAGTGTATGAATCTAATATTCTTCGTATCTCTGCTTGCAACGTTATTGATTTCAGCAAGTTGTTCAATTTTCTAATTTCATTTATTTCAAATAGCTTTAACCCTTCAACCGTAAAATTGGAAACCTTTTCATTATGTTATGTTTGCTGTCGGATTGCCTAATGTCATGTGATCGTGAAGCAAAACATGATTTTGAAAACGTTAAGACTGTTTTGAGCACTTCAAACCAATTTACTCAATGCACTAGTTGTTGCCACATTAAAATCATAGCTTTAACACTTTGTTAAAGAAAGTAATAAATAAAAAGGCAGCAGAAAAATACTGTATTAGAAATATAAGTATACGTTTGGAGAAGACATGAAAAATTAAAGATAAAATAATAAGTGAAATATGATATGCTTTTGTGTTTCATTCTGCTATTTTCCTACTCAGTTACTGAGTGGACATGATTTGATTTCAGTATGTATTTCTGGGATAAATTCTGTACTTTCATTTTCTAAAGATGTTTCAATTACAGTCAATTAAGTAAAAGGAATACAGCAGCGATTACTTAGTTATCAATTAATTAAATGCTCAACAAAGGAATTATTTCCTCCAGGTCAACTGGCTTACACTGTATTATGTTTCTAGAAAAAGTGGATTACAAAGTCTAGGCCAGAACTGAGAAAACCCTGCCATTGCATATATAATAATCAGGATGGAAATATTAATACTAAAATGCTTGCTAGTGAATCTTACTATCCAACAAGAGGATACCAGATCAGAGGTAATACACAGAATGTTGTGTTATCTGACTTATCACTTTGCTTGAATCGAACTCAGTTTTTGTTGTGTTAATGAATTCTACTTACTATTCAGGTTCCATAAAAATCCTGTTTTCTTCATGTAATAGAGATAATGGTCACTAAACAAACTGCAAAGCTGTAAAGCATAATCTTTTGACTGTATAGTGAGTGTTAAGTATTACTAATGACAGTCCAGCAAGGAAGGCTAGCACAAAAGCAAGGGGGCGGGTGGAGGAAATCAAACCTAGTTTACATGCATGCTATCAGATAACAACTACAACACTACACATGACACTAACAAGAGTAGTCATTCCTACAGGACTAGGAAAACTAATTCACAACTATTTAAACAAACTGAGCTCAAGTCTTCCTCAACATAGTGTGTAAATGTCCAAGAAGGAGCAAAAGTATTGACTGGGAAGAACAAAAAGTACCCAAAGATGGGTTCTCAAGAGTTAATAGAAGTAAAAAAAAAAAATCACTCCAGATAATTTATTCAAATTGTATTTCCTAAATCTCAAGGATAACTGTATTTATATGAAGGAAATGTAATGATCCAACTAAACTGTGCAAGTTCCATAAAGAAGAAATTTAAAAAGGACACACACCTTCTAGTGACAAACATATCCTTGATAAAAACTTTTCTAGGCAACAGAAGCGATTTTTTCCTAGCAGCTCCACCCCTTCTTGTGTCCTGACTAATCTCAGGTTAGGATCAGAATATGCTGCAGTTCACGGACAGACACAAACTGTCACGCCTATACAACATGCTAAGCCCTTATATGCAGGCTCTAAGAATCCAAATCATTAAGAATCCTGAAGCTTTTATGATTTGTCACTATCACTATATCGATGCTGTAGACATTACGCCCACTGTAACCATGGTATAAACTAGAGAGAAACTGAGCAATTTACTTGTGGTGCAAGCAGAGGCAGTCTAATGTAAGCCAGGAGTTTACTGAGATCTTTCCTTCTCTGTTCCAAATCATGTCGAACCCACGTAAGTAGTGCATTCAGTATAGTTTCTTCATTAGGAATATTCATGTCATCACTTGCTAAAAGTTTTGCAATTTCAGTGGCTGGCAATAATAGAAATTCCTGGTTTCTAATTACTTCCATGAAGTTTTCCTGAAAAAGAAAAGTATTTTTAATACAGGTGACATCATACTTTGAAGACATTTTATAGAACTCCTACTATATCTTCCCCTCTTTTCCCTCCCATCACACCATCTCTCAGTTGTGCCAGTAAACACCACTTGAGAACTGACCTGGGAGGGAAAAAAAAAAAAAAAAAAAAGTAAAACAAAAATGTACTGAGTTACTCTGACCCCTGATCATTTCCCCAATTCTATCATTCAGTCCCACAGACAGATGTGCTGAAACAACTGAGGTGGAAGTGTATGGACAGAAACGAGCAACGGGTCGTGGGGGTTATATCTTGGCACTGCAAATTGAAGAAACACTTTCTGAAGTATAGTTTAAAAAAAAAAAAAAATGGTGCAGCTTGTTCCTGGGACAATGTAGAATTCAGTGTAAGATGCTTTGTCAAGCAAAGAGCACAATATGCTACAACTACTGGGCACATCTAACTGTTTTCATTACTGCTAGATTAAACTATGGCATTAAATTTTCAGCAGAAATAAACAACACTAACAATTTTATTGTTGATTTTAAACGGATTATTTTAAGTTTATTTTACTGCTTTGTAGACTTTATACAGCTGATCTGATTGACTGGGGAGCAAAACATACAAAGAATTCACAACATTGTACATGCCTTGCTTTAATAATAATATTTACTTTGATAGGATTCGATTTTCTAACTTTCATCCTGCCATTTCCAGCAACAAATCCTTACTTCAAAATAGGAAAGTCACAATATGTAACATTTCCGACACTGATATCCTATTATTTCATAATACTAGGACTTGCAGAATGTTCTGTAAGGATTCTCGAGAACTCAGGCAGAAATAGCAGAAAACTATGTAGAAACACAGTCAGCACTATGAACTTACAGTGAGAAACCTGAATGTAACAGAAAAGGGCGAGATCGTGTCTCTCCTCTTTCCCCATACACCTTTACGGGGCAGCAAAGGAAAGAAAAGTAAAAGCAGTCTATGACTCACAACATGTTCTTCTATTTTGGTAGCTCAAAACCCAGTTAACCTCGCACTCCAAACTGAGAGTAACTTCATGTCAATGAAATGGTATTACAATCAATTTAATAAATGCACTGTTGATTGCTAGATAGCTAGCCAATGGGATGCTGCTTTTGCTCTGCCATCACAGGTACCTCCAAAACACCTGGAGCATAAAGTGCATTAGATCCACAGACAGGGAAGTCTAACTGGGCCTAATATCAAAATTAGCCTTACTTAGTATCTTGTTTAATAATTTAAAAAGAATTGCACACTAATTAAAAAACTCTGGATTAGAACCACATACACATTGGAAAGGAAAAAAAAAAAAAGAAAAAAGGATTTTTAGGTCAAAAGACCAGGGAGAAACTTGGGAGCAGAAGCAGGACCTGCACTGCAGAACAGGTACGAATTTAGCATATAAAATGGCAACAAAAACATACAGTACAGTTTGGCATTGCATATGCAAAACACATCATGACAACAAAGCGAAAAAGGTAACACATCTTCCTTTTTATTGCTTAGTCTACTCATTTCAAAGCTATACTTCAGTACTCCAAAAATATTAACTAATTAAAGAATGCTGAGCAAAGAGGAAAAAACTAATGAGGAGTAAACCAGTCTACCTTACATGAAAGCCACACATCCGTAAGATGGCTACAAGATGTCTAAGGGGGAAAGATCAAAGTGACTCCATTCCACAGGTAAGTCTGGAGTTGAAATTAGGAAAAGAATTGGAAGTGTTATCTGTGCACATAACTGTATTCCTGGATAGAATTTGGAAAGGAAAATTTTACATTTAATATCTGAAAAGCTTTCCTACTAGAGACATCCAATTGGCTACACAAAAGTAGTGCTTCCAAGAGAAAACTGTACTAGATTAGAAGGGAGACAGAACTGTCTTTTCCTCTTTAATTCATTTAACTCTCTGTATTACAAAATGAAAGTTAAGAAAAGGAGCAAATACAGGAATTAAAAACAGTGAAAGGACTGTAGCAATATTCAGTAGTACTACACATGCACTGCTATTTATTTTACTCTGATACCGAATGCTTGGGAGTAAAATTGAAGCTGAAAAATGGTCAAAATTATTTCCAGAGTTTAAACATGCAGTTCACAGAAATTCAGATTCCACTGAGTTCATTTTTTCCATTCCTGTTTTTTTGTTGATTCTCTGTCCTAGAGAGTATGCAAGCTGGAACTGTGCTTTTAGTTTTGCTGAGTAAACAGGCAGTGAGCACTGACAAAGAGAAAAGCCAACACTTACTACCTTAAACTTTCCATATTGTCTATCCGGATCACAGGAAGAGGAAGGGGAAAGCACCTGCATGGAAAGTTTCCTTTGTCTCTGAAGGCAACGACAAGCTGATCCTGCGTAAGTCAGTCAGGGATCCTCTTTGGAAAGCTTTTTTCCAACTGGATTTCATCACTTCAACAGCTGTTGTGTGTAAAAAGCCTGATTTTCCTTCTTGTTGCTTGCAGACAATTGCTTTCTGATGGGAACAAGTTCAACTTCCTCTTGCTCCCATTCTATTTTTAAAGCTGAGACTTCTTTTGAGCAGAGTATCAAAGCATTCCACTGGGAATACAGCCACTCTTTGGCCTACGTCTGGGTTTTTTTATAATCAGAATCTGACAATTCCTCTTCCTCTACAGACAGAGATTCTGAAGACAAAAAGGAGGAGCCAGTGTATCTCCTAGCATTCTTAACCTCCTCATTAGCCTTTTCTTTCCTTCTTCTTATGGGAACTCTCTGTGGAAGAACAGGATATTTCAGAGAACAAACGGTCTGCAGTTTCAAGTCCCTTGCTTTCTGGTCCTGAAAGTAAAAAAGAGAGTTTCCCACCCCCAAAATTAGCTCCTCAAAGAGCTTGGAAACTTTATCAAATGAGTAGCCTGAGGTCTATGTATTAGCTAAAACAGGGACGTGCAGTCCCTGTGCTCAATGCTGTGCATTGCTCATTCACATCACAACCTTAAATTCAACCTTCAGCAACTGCAGAGTGAGTAATACTGATATTGTTAACCACAGGTCTGCCTTGGACTTGATACCGAGCAAAACAGTATTAGGAGCATATAAAAGGTAAGATGTCATGATGGTTATTTCTAAGTGGTACTTAATTCCCACACCGGGATCCAGTGAGACAAGTAGTCCCCCTCTACACTGTGTCAGAAGGACTAGAACCTCGGAGGGCATCAGAACACCTGCAGGCTGAGAAGGACAGTACGCTGAGGTGGCCCAGCAGGCAGCTCTAACCACAGGGCTCTCTTTAAACTCTGAACCTGGGCAGCTGAAAAGCAAGAGGTGCTTGACTCACGGGATCTGAATGAGAACAAACAGGGAGTGTAATTCTGTCTACTGGCTGCTTCAATCAGCTGGTCAACTGAGGTATGAATTCACTAAGAACTAAGCTATCTGACCTCCTGGTAAACTATTAATAGTCAGATAGACATCAGATAGCAGCTATTTTACTTTAGTCAGTTTTGCCTGCTGTGTTAAATGATAAACCAACCTAATGCTTTCAGTGCGCCCAGGGTTTGTTTAGAGTACAACTATTGTAGCTTAACGCCTCTCTGCAGAGTTTCTGGATTCCAAAACAGGCTGGGCAGCACACAGAAACCTATTTAGTCTTGCCAAGGCAGTACTGATCTACGGTACTAGGCAGAACTTAGGGAACTTGACAGACAGAAATATCTTGGGTTTTCACAGGTGAAAAGAAGTGAATAAATATTTCCCAGTCAGATGATTACTGAGCAGGATATTTTGGACTGCAATTTCAGGTGCAAGAGTATAATATCATTGTTTTGGGCACTAACACGATCTTCGGGTCTGGCCCTCTGTGGACAAAAAAAAAATACTGAAATTTCTCACCCTGTTCATGCTCCCCCTACCAAAAGAACAAACTGTCCTGGCCGTTGCAAGAAAAAAAGACAAATTATGCCTCTTTGATTCCTCCTCCCAAATCATAAACTCCATATTGCAATGATTTTTTGTTACCCAACTCCTGCCTTACAGGAGAAAGCAAATCTAAGTGTCCCACATCTATTCTTCTGCAAAATTCCTAGCTTCTATACTTGGCCTCAATCTGTTTCTCTATCCTCTCTAAGTTTTTCTTCTTATAAACAGCCATTGGCTGTGCTCAGAAATCATGCAAACTCCAAAATTAACTTTATCTGAATCTTGTAACATTATCACTGCTCACGCACTTCTGAAGATTTCTGATGAAAATCAAAATGGCTTTTCACTCTGCTTTAAGCATGGAAGGCTGAGCAACAAAGATTACAAAGCTATCTACAAACGGGATGGACTCAGGCACTATCATGTATAATGTTTAGAATGTCTGCTTTTTCTTTTTTGGTTGTAATTAAGGAAGTTAAAATCTGGCTACTGAAGAAGCTACCTGACACTTACCTAAGAACACCTCACTGCTCACCACAGATATTTCATGTTCTGGAAACGCAGGCTAGCTTTTCCTCACCTGAAAGTATTAACTCCCATTTTGTTTACTTTTTTGTGGAAGAGGAGCTATGGGTTTTCATTCAAGGTGCACTATCAACTGTTTCAAACAAAGAAGATGACAAAAGGGGTGTTTCTTTTGACATTGTGAAGACAGCAAACGCACAGAAGGCATTTTGTGCAAAAAGGCTTTACAAATTAAAGTGAACAGCTACACTGCTAGGCAGCCTAATAAAATTCCTAAATTTATAATTGTATGACCCCAATACTACATATAAACTACAGCAAAACAGGATAACCTTTGTACAAAAGATACCTTTACCCAGATACACCTCACGATTCTGTCAACTGTATTTTAAAACCCTGATGCAGAAACCCCAGAGCTGCTCTTTATACAGCATTAACTTCACTACCGATAACCAGTTTATTTCACGTTTCACTTAATGCACCCTGAGGATTTTTCAAACTTTAGTTTGCAATGTCAAAAATTGACCTGTTTTGATGATAACCTTAAAAATTATTCTCCTCTGAAAAAACAACTCATCAACTGTCAACACAGTAAGCAATAAAGTAATGCAACACTTAAGTCCTTTTAGCATAACATACATCTACATCTTTAATATGAAGAGGTGCAGCATTCAAATCCTTCTTATTAATTTATTTTTTTAATCATACTGTATTATGTGATTAAAATCATGCCATAAAATCATGCTAATGCTTTCCAGTGACACCGAATGAACATTAGTCAGACAGAGCAGGTCTATTAACAGAGGTAGGCCTACTGGGATAACTCACTGATTGGTCCTTCAGTTTAACCAAATGCTCATTTCATCTGAATTTCTAGTCTTCATGTAAAGAACTATTTTAATGAAGCAGGTACAATGATTATCAAATTATAGTATGTATCATAAAAACCTTTGAAACTGAGAAGTTGTTTTAATTGCAGAAAAACAGTTATATGGCAATCTGATTTTTTTTTTCTGTCAAAGGAAAATAAAAACTCATAGAAAATAATGTAAATAAATTAAAATTTAAGTATTTTATATTGTTCATTACCTTCTGGTTCAAGTCCTTTAAAAGAACCAAAATTACATGGAAAAGCCAGAATTATATACTATTCTCAGTATAATCCCCCGTTGTGCTATGCTGCCCACTGCAGCATAAAAATAATTCATTGTTTTAACAAACAGAATTTCCAGGTACTACACGTGCGCTTAACCCTTATGCTCTAATACTTCTTAATGGAAAGAGCATCAAGTGGCTAGCACTTACTACTGTTGAACATTTTCTTTTTTCAAACAGCTTTTAAACAAATGAAATTACCTGGGGATTTATTTTAATTGAAGATTCAATTGGACTATACATTTCTATGCAGTTTCCATAGCAACATTCATTTCAAACTAAAGAAGCTGCTTCTCTATTACTCATTATTACTAAAATTCAATTTCATGTCTCTGTTGGAACTAAACAACATTAACAGAGGCCTTGGGAAGAATCCATCTAGCACAACTAATTAGTTTTGAAAATGGCTTTTTAAAATCCACCTAATTTAAATTTCATCCACGTCTAAGCCTTAAAAGCCACAATTTTGCCACTGAAGTAAACAACAGCCAAAAGGCATACAACTATTTTCCTGTGGTCCGAACAAAAGAAAAGATAGCTGCTGTAAAAGAATGGCTTTTAGAAAGTTCACAGCTCCTTTCCGCCACAAGTCATGAATTGCCAGTGAAAATAGTAAGACTACTATCCCTAACACCGTTCTGATCTTGGCAGTCCACTTATAAGGGACATGACAATAACACAGACCAAACTATACGCTTATTCTGAAAAAGAACAGATAGGCCAGAGGAGGGAGGTTTTGCATACTTTTTGTATTGCTGTCTCACTCAACATTAATTCTAGTAGTCCTCAAAGGCATAAGTCACATTTATCTTTACTGTTTCATCTGTCTACCTAATTGCAGTCTCCTTATTTTTGTTTGAGCAATAATGAAGATCAAGAATAGAAACATGTAAGTTACAATCTGCACACTATTTATTGACCTGTTTTGGTAAATTTTAGTGTGTACACGATTTTAAATACATCACAGATCTACTCACTGAGTAAGAACATTGTTTCATATAAAAAAAGAGCTATTTTAAACTGTTACACATACTAAACAAAGTTATTTTAAGCCAAGAAGAAATAATTAAAAAGAAAAAGTAGTTTTAAAACCAGCAAAAAACTAAGGCAGCAAGAGGAGAAGCCATGGATTTCTAATACTAATTACAAGACAGAAATTATACCTTTTGGATCTAATCCAATAGCTTCATGGCAATGCAATGCCATGCCACACAAGCAAATTCAGTACTATCTTCATTCCCACATCTCTTACGCAGTATCTACATGCCCTCATTCAGGTCCCAAGAGCTTACACAGGCAAAATTTCATCAAGAAGAGAGAAAAATGCCTCACAAAACTGCAAAGAACTGATGAACTGACTTGCCTGAGAGATAATTCTCCTGCCACCTTCTGCTGATAACATTACTAAAATACTCTCGTGAGAAGGAAAAGAAGAACATTTTACATTAAGATAAAAGGATGACTGTTAAGAAGATGAAGTTTAATTAAGCTGGCAGGTCAGTCTTTCTACAGGTTAACTGAAAATATCATTGGCAAATTTATATTTAGTCACATATTGCCTAGCCTAAGATTAAATTATTTGATGCCATCCTGACATCCCACTACTAAGAAATTAAGGATAATGCAGAATTGGCGAATGCCCACATTCATACCCCTAGTATAAATTAGAACCTGATTACTCCAGCTCATTACAAAACAAGAATTCTACAGTTTCATTTAGTAATGTGTTATTTTGGACTAGATGATGGCAGCTTGCCCACTGTTAAGGTTGTAGTTTTTGACTGACAGAAATAAGAACAAGCATTTGAATGATTTTATTAAATGCATATCACACAATCCCATTACTGTTACAGGGAGCCATTAATGCTTGCCTATTTCCTTCCAACTCTAAACCAGCAACTTTATAGTTATTTTGCCATTTCTCATCATGGGAACATATGTGCATTCTTGCTTGGAAAATGATCAAGGCTTTCTGGGGGGAAAAACATTAGTATTTTATTCAGGAAAACATTCTGTATTTTCATTACTAAATAAAGCAGATGATATTTAAAAGAACAACATACCATAGTGTAGTTGTGAGCCACCTTGTGCAAGTCAGTGCAACCCTGCGCATCGGCAAAAGATCGGATTCCAAGGCAATTGGATGGGTGAAGCTGCTTCATTAGGAATTTACAGCATGCTTCTACAACCTGAGAGAGCTGAAGAAGGCAAGCTGTAGACAACAGGCACTCAATGTTATCTTCTTTTAATTCAAGGCGACCTAGTAATATTAAAAAGGAGATCACATTACTTTGCTCTCATCATTTGTTAAATTCACTAAAACTCAGAGGCAACAGAATTATTTACAGATTATATGACAGAATATAAGGCTTAGCAAACATCACTCTCAGCAACAGATAACCAGTTTTTTCAAAATTAGTACCTATAATGACATAAGGAAAGGGAATCCTAATAAGATTCCTTTTTTTGTCAGTCATGATACATTTAAAATATTCACATAATACTATATTAATTTATTTAACAAATTATCAGAGAAACTATATCCTACCAGGTTGCCTCAGGTAACAGCAATGCTGATTTCTATTTATTTATAAGGAGTTAAATAATGTGAATAATCATTTCTAAAGAGCATTTGAAATCTAGTAATGGAATACAATGCTCACAGGAGGACAATTCATTAGATGAAATTCCCATTTTCATTCTAATTACCTGTATATGCATATTGAACCAGAGCCCACAATGCATTTGGCTCCACACCTTCCATCTTGATTTCTTCCTGTCTTGCTTCCCTTACGTCATTAGTGAACATTGCCGCGAAGTAGTCCGAAACAGAGGAGAGAACCAATCTGAGTACATCGTGCGGGAGAGAAGAAGAGAGACAAAGAGGAAAAAAAAAACCAAACCCAAACCTCAGTCAACCTGATGTTTGTTAATTTATGATTCATTACTTTGCCCTTTGAAGAAACACACTACTGAGAAAAACATTTTAAAATTGACAAACTGCTCCATGCTCTAGTTTCCCTCTATGAATAATGAAGTACTGTTACTGAATCTACATTTGCTGCTGAAATAAATGAATTACACTTTCAGAGCTCAATGACTTTTAATAGCCAACACAGAAACAACCCACAAAAAACACATAAATTGGAAATGGAATATAAATATACATTATGGAAATAAAAAAAATCGAATTGACTTCCATTTATATTATGTCACTTTTTTAAATGTGAAAGAATGACTTACTAGTCCTTTTGAAAGTGCTTTAAACTGCTTTTACTGTTGGTGCACACATATGCATTCATTTACTAATACTGATAATAGAACTAGGCACAGTAAACATGGAGATGGTACAGAGTAATCTCTTTTGTGGGTATGTATTTAGCCTTTTGTTAACAATTCTGAGTATTTTAAGATCCTGAGTAAGTAAACATGTTAGTACGCAACAGACGTTTCTTCGGATTACTGAGAGTAAAACACTGAGTAGACCTAACAATGCCATTCCACAAAATGTGCAAGAATTTTGATGTCTCAGTATGTGTTCACAGGACTAGGGTGAAAGATAAAGGAAATCATATGAAGGAGGAACATTCAACCCATAGTTCTGTTGTATGAGACCTACCATAACTATTCATGAGGTCTCTTCCTGGTCTCTTCCCTAAGAGACCTCCCGGAACAGCCGTGTGGTTTGGGTCAACTTTTGTGCTGCAGCAGCTCACAGGGAATTAAAATACAAATACACTTGCATATGTACCGAGCTATACAAACAGCAAGCCCAAGAATCAAGCCTATTGCAAATACACTACACAGACCATCTGCATACATTCAATGAATCTAATACTTCACAAAATGTCAGTTTATTCTGTGCTGAATCATTATATTGGCTTGTTAAGGTGACAGAGGTCAGGAACCGCAAAACAGAGTAAAATTAATTGAAAAGGTGAGCAGCAGTGCTTAGGAGTAAAGTCTACACATGTATTAATGGGGAGGATTTGCAGCTATGTACACAAAGTCATGAACTAGAAAGAACTGTCTCTTAGTTAATTAACTGCAAACTAATAAATTGTTGACTAATTTCAACTTCTTTTTTCTTGCCGATTTTCTGACCATTGACCATTTGGTCAGGCCTACAGTAGGATAACCCTTTTTTTCTAGTTGTTGAGGCAATAGAGTTGGGTTAAGAGCATATGGGGAAAAGATTAATTTTAACATCTTGGTTGACTTAAGTGAAGTTTTGTAATGAGAAATAAAGCTCTGTTCTTTTAAAGAACATGTTGTTCTTGAAATGCGAGATTCATTCTGCGGCTGACTTGCTGAGAAAAAGTAGAACATTCTGCCAAGATAGCACCCGGGCATCACTTCTAGGCGTTTTAACCTCAAGTTTAATGACACCTGAATGAATGAAAATACCGCCTCCTACAGTTCTGTAGAAGTTTAGTGAAATTAGAGAGTACATTCATATAAGCATCAAGGAAGAGTTTATGCAACTGCTTTTGATGCTAGAATGACATGACAAGATCAGATTTGTATGTACAGAATATGGTTTCTCATTGGAAGGGAAAGTGTGTAGATGGACAGATTTGAATGACCCAAGTATCTCTGCCGGGCCAATTCATTATTAAAAAAAAAAGCAAAACAAACAACTTAAAATATTCACCTCTGGCAATACTGACTTGAACTTCTACACAGAATAGAGCTTGAAAAAGAAAGGTCTCTGTGATGGAGCTAAAACCTAATCTTAACACAGTTTTGGGTTTGTGCTTTGGTTTTTTTTTTCCTTCCCCCAACAGTGCAACTAGTTTAGTTAGCTGCACTATTATTTAGAAGATGGCTGGACTGCCCATATCTGAGCAACACTTGCTGAAGAAATGCCAAATAATAACCTGAGGCTCCAAACAAACACCTTCTACCAGCTGTTTGATATCAGCAAATTTCCCCCTGTAATTTCCAGTGTGAGAGTCCTCCAAAAGAAATTTTTACAAATTTAAAATGCAATCCATTTACTATTTTTGCAAACTTGTATTCGGATTCATGAGAAGGTATACATGTTTCACAGTGCTAAGTGCTTTCTAGGGAGTGACCTGCATATGTCAGAACAGGATGTGCAGCCCAGGAGTAGATTAATACCAGTAATATGCCAAAGCATAAATTATACCAATAACAATTTTGTAATAATTTTAGTCAAGAAGCATGCACCATGAAAAGCCTTAGAACAGGTATCCACACTTTTCTCTTAATTCAACTGATTTAGGAAAAAAGTTCTTTCAAAGGAAGAAAGGTGATTAAAAGACGCAGTGACAACGCATCAAGGTGACACTGAGCTAGCATAAAAGAAAACAAAGGCAGACTTTCAGCAGACTGGCCATTTCTTGTTCTATGTTTTTCCCACTAGTCAATAAAAATCAATTACTACTATACTCATTCCATTTGACACCCACTTGTTCATTGATCTTTTAATCTCATAGCTAGTAACTGATTTTTCTTTCAAGCTTTTTTTGGATTGTCTGAAATTAAACTGCATTCCTATATACAGATTATACAATGTGAAGCACCTAATACCTTCATATAACTGAATAATCCACGTAAGACTTTCCCCATCCATATTTGGCCTTTTTGCTAAACAATTACTATAAAAACTCTACTTATATTCACGATCCCCATGTTAAATAGAGCTATCATGGCTCCGTTAGAATTTAACATAATCTCTTTGTGTTATTTATTAATCATTGAAATTAACACATTCATCCATATCAAGAGTTCACTGGGAACTACTGATGCTACAAAATACTGCCATTCCTCAGTTTAGAAACTGAAGCAAGCTATGGTTTTTGTATTCTGAGTCTGTATTTTTTTCCCCAAGAGTAATATTTCCTTCATAATTGGCCCAACTAAAATGTCTACAAAATTGGTATATATTGACATTAGAGAGACCTCTTAACAGTACCAAAAAAAAAAAAAATTGGAAGAAAAAAAAAAAAAAAACAAGAAAAAGCCTTAATACAGTTGGCATTGTATTGTTCAACTGTGGATGTCAAACATATTTACCTTTACTCTTCTTCTTACTTAATAACCAGCTACTGCCAAATACTCAATTCTGCACAGATAAGATTGCAAGAATTTGGCTACTGAATTATATGCAGTAGGTTGGCTGCTCGTTTTCAGTGCACAGGAAAAATGTAGAGAAAAAGGAGTACATGAATACCAGAATTTTTCATCTGGGAGATCGTAAGATGTCTGAACAATTAATCTCTCTGGAAAAACACTCAACAGCTATGGGCTAAACACTGACAAAATCTGGGTGTTTCAGTACATCTCCCTGTTCTTGCAGGAGGTTCCAATGCTACTGATGTCTTTAATTTCTGTGGTTTGTACTGATCCAAAAATAGAAAGATCCACCATGATGGCTTAACTTAGTTTGCAGAGTTTTCTACTGAGAGCCAGTAAAATATGTGTAAGCAGGGTGGCACGCCTGAATTAATTGTGCTTCTTGTTGGAATTGCCACAAGCTGCATCATCTAGACAGTTTTCTAGGTCTTCAATGCAATTATTACGTAAAATGATGATAGCTGTCAAACCCGGCAATTTACAGATTTAGTATCTCCCAACCTGATTCACCTGACAGAATGACATGAAGCTTCTTAACATTTTCAAGATAAAAGGGACACTTCCTAGGCAGCTCCTTGTTTGTGGCTGTGTAACAGATGAGAATAGTCCTAGGGAACACACTAATAGCATTCAGTGAAGTTGTAAGGTGATACTGAACAGTTCATGCATCCTAGTATGAAGCATTTCATCCACTGGTGGCTTCAGCTAGTTTCTATTCTTGATAACAAAGCATGTCAGTAATAAAAAGAATTATGAAAGTGGTACTACCCACACTACTAATATATCTGTATTTATTTAAATTGTATTTGTTTAAAAGCAAGCAATACCTAAAAATACATGCAGTATGTTTATGTTAAAATGATTTCCAATTATCTCTCTCTTCCAGGGAAATAAAACCTTTCAAAATTCATTTGCTGCTTCTGACACCGAAATGATGATTACAATAAACCCTTTAGTAGAATTTTTCAAAACAACCACGCTGTTAGTAGCAATAGTACCTTTTTAACATAAAGCTATCACAGAACTGCTTTTTTATATACTTTCACTTTTTAGAAAGACACTTTGTGTTAAACTTTTATAAACATGTAGCTAGAACAAAACAACCAAAAGGCTGCAGTGAAGGATTTACAAACTAAGGCAATACGGACTGTGAAAGAAAGGAAATATTATTAAGCTGTATGGAAAAGAAGTACAAAGATAAATAAGCCTCAAGATAAAAAATGTCTGCAAACCAGGATTTGTGCTCTTCCAAACAAGCTTCCTAACCCCTAGAGTACATAAGCTTCCATTTGCCGCCTTTCCTTCAGTCCCATGTCTTTTGTATTTCCATCTTTCACTGTCAACAGGAAGAAAGAAAACGGCTCTGCAGAGATTTTCAGATTGCTGGTTAAAGGATGCAGAGCAGGCTTTAAATCCCCTCTGGCCAGGAATTTACACAGACCTCCCTTTTCTTATGTGAATGTTCTGATCAGCAGGTTATTACAAAACAAACTTTTATTATGGATATAGCAGTTAGCTGAATGTAATAAATTACTTAAGACACCTGAAATTGCAGTGGACACAGAAAAAGCACCTGATACGAAAAACTTAATTAAATTAATTAAATTTAATTTAATTAAAATCTGGCAAAATTTCTTTATGGAACTGCAGGCTAAGGGAGTGGGAATGTAATGTGGGTTTTCCTTACTAAGTTCTTAGCTATAATTTCAGCACAGAATGAGAAGATAAGCAGTCTTAGAATAATAGAAAATGCCACATTCAGAAAAATCATGACTATATGTGATACTCCTATTTGTAGTAAACGGATAGCCTGAATTCTTTGAATAGGTCCAAACCAAAATCCTTCTGGATTTTACAGTAACGTATTACCTGTGCTTATTACTATTGCAGACACCAAACTCGCTGCTCTTTTATCTAAAAACATACATCATACACCTCAGAACATTCAAGTGTCATCAAAAGTAGAAACTGAGAATTAAGGAAAAAAACACAGGAACTATTAAAAATATCAGGTTCAAAACAGAAAATCTGAAAACTCCTCTCTATGTATGAGCATGATTAATAATAATAATGAAAAATACTCTTTCTTACCAATTCTATGTGACCACATATTAAGAAAAACCCTTTTATCTTTCTTAAGGAAAAAAAAAGAAAAAACAGCTGTCCAGTGTAAGTGAACTTTCTATTTTCTTACACATCTTAGAATGCCAAGCCATTAAGCTAGTATCTATTTAATACATCTTTTGTTGCTTATTAAGTCTTAAGATAACACAATCACTAGTGTTCTGAAATACACTGATCACTCCAGCCTGCAGTCAATACTAAATAAGCCAGAACTTGGAAGCAGGCAGTAAAAAAATTCTACAGAATTTTCTTCTTATAACATAGGCTACTACAAGTACATAAAGCCAGTCTTCTTACTGAATTTCTATAGAATTCTGAACGAAATTTAAGATTTCCATCTTTATCTTTTTCACCATTGAAAAGGTCTGTTTTCAGTGAGGTACTTTGGACATACTGAGATGAAGACTGTAGCTATTGCTATGTTTCTCTGTGAAAACAAAACAGTAAGAGAAAGAACTTACTGTGCAAAATTTGCTCTGACACTATAAAGTGAACTAAGGACAACCATAAGCCTCCCACGTCCTGCTACAAGCACAAGGTGTGCTGCTTTGGCCTTAACTTTCATGTGTATTTAAAACACAATATACCAGCTACAGCAAGATGTTTCTCCTCCTAAGAAGAGGAGACCATAGCAATTAACAGGTGGTAGCATACGCCTAATGCACTACAGAAATAGATACAGTAGCAGACACTCAAGGAGCAAAGTCAGTTCTCTAAATAAATGGGAAACAGGTACAAACCACATTAAAGAACTTCTTAGCATGCTGTCTTTCTGTTTATCTTGTTGCAAAAAACAAAACAAAACAAAAAACCCCTTCCAGTCCTTACAAGATATTTGCAGCTGTCCTCTGCACCCTTTCTACACTTTTTAATTATTACATAAACCATACTCCATAACTGTATATTGCAAATACCTTGGCCACATAAGGAAGTATAATTATTTCCTTATTATAATCACTATTTTTCCTGTTTATAGCACTCCCAAGCTCTCTGACTTCCAAATTACTTCAGCGGGTGCAAATCCACCAGGAGTGCGTGCATTCCCTGTTTTCATCTGATTCACTCTTTCTATAGGGACAATGCAGTTTTGCAGGTAATTCGAACAAACCAAAGACCAATCTTAAGCAACTCTGTAGCCACAGGGAAAGCCAAATCATCTTACTCACCCTACTGTCTCTCCAAAAAGGGTTCATCATCATCCTTCAAACTACGTGGCTATAAGTGTTTACAAAGGAATTCAGGTCAGGGGTTGGGTGGAGAGCAGGACCACCCATCTTAGCAGGAATAGCAGTAAGAATTGCTTATGTCAACTTGGAAACATCAGGGATAGCCTTAACTGTTTAAAAATGAAGTTTCATAAAATGAAGTATCCGAGAGCAACAAGTTATGGTATAACTGTGTCCCTGCTCCTCAAGTCAGTTCCCATCCCCATGCTATCATTCCCTCAGTTGTGTCAGCACAACAGTTTGGATGATACCCAAATAAAAGCAGAGCTCCAGCTTTTTAAGAAAAATACCAAACCCAAACCAGCAACCTCTTCCCATCTTTTTATTACTATTACAGTATTAAGCTGTAGTTTCAGTGTGGGGGTGGGAATGAGCAATGGAAAATAGGAATGCTTTAGGCTGCTGTTTCTGTTGTAGACCTAGTCTCATGAAACCACGGCTTAATTATACCTAGGTTCCTATTTGAACTATTAATATTGCGCATTAAATACTGTAACATGCTTCAGTTATTCATACTTTTGTTTCACAATCTTTAGTATTTTCCTAGCTTTTAAGTGGCATGCTATATGATCTGTTAATTACACAGACGACAGATAGGGTAATGTTTGATCTAATTTAGCCCTCTAACCCTTACTGTCAGCGTGCAGTAGTCTACTATCAAAGGACTCTTTCTTACAATGGGAGCAAAAATACTTTATGTGGACAAAAGACTGTCCTTATTGCTAATTATGACTCCAACAACTTCATTGTTAGTACAAAGAAAAAATTAAATCTAAGAAAAATTTTTTACATCATTCTATGGCACAGAAACCACTACTACTTATAATATTCTGAGGGCGCATTTGGGACTTTTGGGGTTTCTATTTTGTTATGCAAATATCTTACTATACGCTTGAAGAAAAAAGTAGAATGTGAAAACATCACAATTATTTTTGATGCTGTATTGCATACAACAGACAGAAATTAACTCTTAGTTTCCAAATAAATGTTAAAAAACATAAGCATGTTTAAAGTCTTCTAAATTGTTTAGGACATTCTGACCTTTTTAAGCAAAACACAGGACACGCTTTGAAGGTACATTTGTAAATGAATATGAAGTTACTTCAAATTATAACAAACTTACCTGTGAGCTGGAATTCTACGATCACCAGCAACTAACACCACATCACATAGCTGTTTGTGCCTAAGGTAGTTCTCCATCTTTTTAAAAGTTTGTTCAGCATGGTTGAGAGCCTGAAAAAATTCGTCCGAAGTACAGGGCTCCATAGTTTGATAAGATGATAAGGTATGACTGCTGTTGGAGGTTCTGCTGAAGACAGTAACAGAAATCTTAGTTCACACAATATCTACAGTGATAAAATAAAAATCACATGTGATTTTAAAATTGACGTACGTGATTTAATATATATTCCCTTGCTATTTTATTTCCCTTCATATTCGTACTTTCTGTCTTCCTCCAAACCTAATCTAAACCCTTATGAAAAAGGTACGATCATTTAATGTTCTACTCTTCAACTAACAGGCACACAAACATCAGTCCAGTAATCCTATCTATAGTGCTGTCAGATGGTTAGGGACAAACACACTCCAACCAAGACCCTGCAAACTGAAAAAGCAACAGAAGGATGCAATAAGGAATCAAACCGCTCCCTGCCATGTATGTTAAAGACTTACTTCACACGTACATTAAAGTCTTGCTTCACAGTTAGCCTAAGGTGTCTAGAACAAAACTCAGCGTATACGGAGCTAGTAAAAGAGCGTGGGTATGCAGGGGGGAAAAAAAAAACATCAAGAAACACATCAATATACTACCACTCCTACTGCACGAAGCCTTATGGGTCCAAAATGAGATCTAGTACAGTAGAAGCCAACACAGGGGAAAAGCAAGGGTGGACGGGGAGAAAAATTATTCCTGTCCATACACACAGCAGCTTGGGAGGAAAGACAAACAGAGAAAATGTAAAAGGAGTGCATATGGGCCTAGGACATAAAGGAGATGAATCCTAATTACATACACTGAGAGAAGCACCTTTTCTTGCTCATAGTTCTTTAACTGACAACTACTGATTACTTTTCCACAATGCAGGCAACTTACAAAATACTCTGGACCTACCATAATATTTGGAAGGACATGGATTCCCAAGTTCTGCATCCAGACCCCTGCTTTCACAAAGATGTCACGAACTCGGGCACCATGCTCAGGGCTAAATCCACCAAGACACTTAGCTCAGTCCTTAGCCTAGGACATTCATTTCACGACAGAGCTCCTCAAAATCAAAGTCTGAATTTTCAGCAGAAAATGTTCAGTAAAGGTTTTTTTGTTTTGTTGGGTTTTTTGTTCCCCCCCCAACCCCCCGTGTGCCCAGATAGCTAAAAAGGCCGAGCAATTTGGCACTTAATTCAAACCTAAATCTAGTAACAGATGAGAAATGAGATACTTGCCTACCTACTTCCCTTGGAGAACCTCATCTTAAACGTGCTCTCTGAAGCTGTGGTTAGCCATTTATTTAAGCTGTGCCAACTTCTTCTCACCCTCCATGAGTCACTTCTGCTCCATCACTGGCCCTCAGAAAAGCTGGAACAAGTATTCTTTGTGGCCATTTTGGAAACTGAATCAAGGAACTCATGTATGTGAAAAACGTAACCACATAACCATAAAAAACATTGTATTTGCAAAAGTGGGTGGCATTCTCACAGTGAATGAGCAAGAAGTACTCAGGGAAAGGAACTCTTAAACCAGCAACCCTGCAAAAGAAACAGAAGTGGAAAGAATAGGGTGCTGGGCAACAAGAAAATGCTTAGGAAATTCTTGTTCCCTATCACAATTTATCACATCCTCAACTGTGTTGATACAGGTTGGGTGGTTTGGGTTTTTTTTTGGTTGAACCATATTTTAACTCAGATTCCTCAAATTAACGCCATTAATAATGATAAAAATACTACATTATATCAGGGATTTGATTTACATTACAACCTCACAAAGAGTTGTGTAGATAGAACTGAAGAAGCAACAAACTAGTACGGAGAAGGAAAAAACTTTCCAAGCCAGCACTTTGCCTGGACCACACCCTCACTAGAGCTATTGCCAGCCCCAAGGCTGCACACATGCACATTCTGCACAGAACTGTGGCAGCCACCACTCTTGTTCAACAAGGAAGAATAATTGCAGTGGTGTCTCTTTTCCACTACCCAGCATAAAGCACTTTTTCAGGATACAACAGAGCCAAGCTTAGTTCTTTCCCGCACCTGAAGAAGCTCAAGCCCATACCTTGTCCTCTAGCCAGTAACTTACAAACCATTTTCCATAAGGAAGGAAAAGGATTAGGAAAGAAAGATTAAGCTTCAGCGGTCTATATGAAGAGAACATGAAAGAGATAGTCATTAGATAGTTGTGGTACTTGCAAAAAAGGAAAGATACAGCTTCAAGGGCTATTTATGCCTATTACTCAATGACTGATTACGAAAAATTCAATCTCCCTCCTTCCCCAAACTGTTTTACAAATCTATTTCCCAGTTTAGTTTGCCACAGCCTCGACAGCTTGGGAGAATACACAAGCAAGGAAAGAACAGAGGACAGGAAGGACCTGCTTTTCTCTCTCCCAGCAGCAGTACTGAAATGCCTTCCAAAATTCTTGGTCTACGTCCCTTCCACCTACAGAGAGGATACCTGGGTATCTAACAGTGGCCTGTGACTCCCATGCTCAGAGCAAACACCCAGCTGCAGTGTCCTACACCTCTGAGTATCAAGGCAGCTCTGCTCCTTTTGGATTTGGCTCGACTCAAATTTATCTTATAGTATGAATTTCCCCTCCCACAGACTAGATATTGCTACTTCTGCACACCTCACACATACTACTAAGAAAATTACATTGAAGACTGAGGCTGTCAGCGCACAAGGTAAGTGTATCAGAGAACCCTCTGCATATTCCTTTAAGATTTAAGATAGTATTTTTAACACATTAAGTGGAAATATTATTACAAGTATCTTAGAATGTTAGTCCGCAGGGTTTCCTTTTTGTATTCTTAAACTTCAATCACACTTTTCTTGGTCTTTCTTTTCTTTACCTATTTATGTCAAAAAGATCCTATCTAGCACTGACCAATTTTTAAGTATGGTACAATTTCATGATGATTGTAAAAATATAAGTTACCCTAAGGACAAGGTCTTTCCCATGCTACCTACACATTTTACTACCCTGGTGACAAACATTCATATACTACAGATGCTAGCTTTCTTCAACTTCTCTGTATAACAAAGAATTCATGTAAGAGTGCCTTTTGAAATCAAAATTACGTATAAGCCATGCTATATACCCATTTGTTTTTAGAGGATTTTATTTCTTGAAGTAGGATGTTCGGAATAAGGAGCTCTGCCCAATGTAACAGTTCATTGCAAAGCAATGAAGCAATTAACTGGGCTAGTAAAGCGTTGATAAATGAGTTTCAAAAGTAAAAGCATGTATGATGATGATGACTGGAGAGCTGAATTCACACCTCTCCTGCTGTTGTTTCAGGCTTCTTGTTGTAGCTTAAAGCCACAGCACCATTTTCAATATAAAAACAAACCAAACCATAATATATACAAGCCCTCCTTCCTCCAACTTTTACAAAACTCTCTCTCTCAAAAGAGAGGCATCAGTGTTTTTCAAATTTTACGGGGGAGAAGCACAATCTGTTCCTTGTTGTGGTTTAGCCCCAGTCAGCAACCAAGCACCACACAGCGGCTCACTCGCCCTCCCCCCTGGATGGGATGGGGGAGAGAATCAGAAGAGCAAAAGTAAGAAAACACATGGGTTGAGATAAGAACAGTTCAGTAATTGAAATACAATAACAACAACAACAAAAAAAATTGTCTCGAAAAGGAAAACAACAAAGAGAGGCACAAAACCCCAGCAAAACAAGTGAGGCAACCACCCGCCAACCGATGCCCAGGCAGTCCCTGATCAGCGATCGCTGACCCCTTGCCCAACTCTCCCCAGTTTATATACTCAGCATGATGTCACATGGTATGGAATAGCCCTCTGGCCCATTTGGATCAGCTGTCCTGGCGGTGCCCCCTCCCAGCTTCTTGTGCACCTGGCAGAGCATGGGAAGCTGAAAACGTCCTTGACTAGTGTCAGCACTACTTAGCAACAACTAACAGTGTGTTATCAGTATTATTCTCATACTAAATCCAAAGCACAGCACTATGCCAGCTACTAGGAAGAAAATTAACTCTCTCCCAGCTGAAACCAGGACATCCTATTAACACAATTTATTATTTTAATTATTTTAAAGCACTGAGATTCATTTTAAAGGAGGAGTCACAACGGTTATTTTATAGCAATCTCACATATTAGTTAACAACCTATGAATTCCAAAAAGTATTAACCTTGGCTATAACAAAGGTTGCAAAACTTTTTTCAAATTGTTTTTTGGGAGGCAGCTTTTAGGTTAAATGTCTCCATGTTTGTCTTTGAAGGAAAAATGAAGTAAAAAAAATAAAGACTTCATTATGACTAAGAAAAAAATCAAATACACATTCAAACTATTCATTTTGGAACAGAGATAGAGGAACAAAATCCAAAATTTGAAATTAATTTTAAATGACGTTTTCTGAAAAATTGTGTAAAATTCTGTCTGAAAATATTATCTCTGAAAGTTATGTGTAAATTCACTTATATTTAAAGCTGTTCTGTTGTCATGATCAGTTCACCTAATTTAGCTGTAACTTCATCTGTACTTCTAAAAAAGGTCAACTTCTCCATAAGATTAATATGAAATCCCATGAATCTGCAAAAATGTAGTTTTACTGCAAGATGAGAGTGACATGGTTAGATCAAGGGTGTGTAGTACAGATGCTGACCTTATATATAAGTACCACCTTGTCTCTTCTAACCTTTTGCAGCAAGTAACAGCTTATTTCCTGGCATTAAACAGTCACATTTCTTTTGACAGAAGCAACATGTTGAAGTGCAGCTGGTTCAGCCTTCACTGGACAAAGGAGTCAGACAGCATTACCATGGGATTTCTATCTGCAAAATCTTGATGGAAAAAATACCCCAAATACACTGCTACTATGTCTACTCAACTGGCTGGCTCACAGAATCAACAAATGAAGCCTGTTTTTCAAAAGATTTCTATGCTCTGTCTCCTTTTCCCACTCCATCTACCACCACAAGTCTAACTCTTCTCCTTTCCCCTCAATTCCTTAAGGCATTGCCTCACTAGGCAAGAGACAGCAATTAACGTGACTAACGGGAAGCTGTGCTGTGCCGCCAGCTTTGCAGCAGATGACTTCTGCCCTTTTTCAGTGAAGGCAATAAG